TGGCTCAGACACACACATACATGCATAGGCACAAGTACAAACATACAAAACCATGCAGTCAAGTGCTTAGACAGACATACATGCAGAGATACAGGTGTGTGCATTCACCCCGGTCAAACTACCTCACACTGTTAACCCACAGCCCACTGGGATGATTTGGGTGTATGATATATAGTGTCTCCTTAAGAGTAATGACGTGAAGCAATTTCTCTCTGTCTGCTCCGGGAAGGAGCCTTCTGTTGTACCCTTGAACCTGAATTTCTGCAGTGAAATATCCAATTGCATAAATGGGTAATTTATTAGCCACTTAAAGCATCAACTAAATGTAAGTTTGAATGAATGAATGCTACATGTATATCTCGCTTTTCAAGACACCTGAAGTTCTTTACAGATGCAATGGGGAGCCCCTTTAACCGGCAGCACTGTGTAGCCCCCACCTGGATGATATGACAGCAGCCATTCTGCGCCAGTACGCTCGCCACACAATAGCTGAGCTGGTGAAGAGGCAGGAGAGAATTCACCAGTTAGATATAGGAGATGATTTGGGTTTGAGGTTCACCAAGTCAACCATAGTTAACTAGTAGTTCTTTGTTGAATAACAAAAAGCATTTAATCTCTGAAGGAGGATGAACTTCAGACTGGCTATTAGTCTTAGTTTAGGCGACAGCACACGTTTAGTGACAGCTGCCAGTGATCGAGCTGGCATATTTGAACAGAAGGTGGAGCTGGGCTGTGACTCCGGTTGGATCAGTCCTATCTCCTTTGGGTGGAGACTCGGTGGTTTGTTAGCTTAGTGTCTACGGCTCATTTCTGTTGACACCAGAGTCTGGCAGATAGGAGGTAGATAGAAGTCCGGGAAGGTTGTGCGCGGGCTAGTAATGCACTCTGCGCGGTGAACACATTAATAGCTCAGATGAGGTGTCGTCTCGCGCGCGTGGGTGAGTGGGTGGCGTGCCCGGCGGGGCTGACGTCCTGAAGGAGCTTCTGTATCCCGCCATGAGTGATGGGAGACATCCGGAAGCAAACTGCCCTCACTTTCCACCATCTCGCCATCTGAGAGCCTCCTAAACATCTCAGCTCACCAGCGGCAAAGAGCAGATGACCAGTGTGGAGATGCTCATGATTTTAGCTCTGCTGAAAGCGGTGACGTTTTGAGGGTAAGGTTAGCTGGTAGGAGAAGGGAGGTGGGGGCTGGGGGCATTTAAAGATAGAGATTATCTGTGTCTGCTGTGACCTCGCCGTAACTGAGAAGAATTGATGAAGTTTTTGCATGAGCTTTTTTGTGAATGTCAGTATTGTA